GCATCACATCTTGCTTTTTGAATCTTAGAATGACATTGTACTTGACAATTCCAAAGAACTCATGATAAAAAATGCTATTCACCTCCAGAGAGAGAACTGATGATCTCTGAGTGCAGATGGAAACACATTTTTTTTTACTTTTATTTTTCTTGCTTTTCCCTCCCTCACAACATGACTAATATGGAAATGTTTTGCATGACTTCATATATACGATGGGTATCATATTTCTTCCTTTCTCAATGAGTGGGATACAGAGTGGAGGAAGGGAGAAAATTTGGAACTGAAAATAAAAATAAATTAACAAAAAACCCAAGATAAATAAAAATACAATGCAATACATACATACACATACATATATATGTATAAACATACCCATATATAAATGATATTATACTGTTTTTCCTGAGTATATGGAAATTTGGATGATTTAATTTTTATTTTTAGACTGGCTCTATGATATCATTAGTGTAAGGAGCTACCAGCAAGGAACTTCCTTTAGCAATATAGGTTAACACCTTCTCTGCAACTTAGATCCTTATAATTGCTTGGGAGAAATGAGACATCAAATGATTTGCCTAAGTTTGCACAGCCAATATATGTCATAGGAAGGACATGAATCCAGGTCTTCTTGATTCCAAGGTCAATTTTCTATCTATTATGCCCTGCTGCCCTGTTGATTTAATATCATAACTTTTTAAAACATTAAAATAATTTTGGAAAAATAAAGGCCTATGCATTCCACACCTGAACTTTGACATCACAATCTCAGATGTGCTTAAGCAAGAGATAGATGAGCTTATAGAAGCAACACTAAAAGAACAAAATGAAAAACAGACTGATTGGCCCAACCATCCATAGAGGAATTATGTACTAAAAGTGTCACCATTGAGAATACATCAAGGGATTGATTCAGAAGGTGTCTGAAGGGGAAGAGTGAAAGTCCAAGTGGTGTGGGAGAAAATCTTGGATCTTACTAATATAGTAAAAAAGAAAATAAAAACCATCAATGACTGCTGACCTATATTCTCACTTTCCCAGCTATTAAATTTTTGTGAAAATTATTTCTACACAATGAAGGCATATTTGATTAAGCTATAGGTAGAGAATAGGCAAGTGTACACAAGTAAGTGGATTGTATCTTTTCACAATTGATTAAAAGGTGTACAGAAATACAAAATTCCATTGTTTTTGTTGAGTGTTGACTATAAAAAAGCATTTGATTTGGTAGAAGAAAATGACACCTTAAAGTGTTCTTTGAACAAATGTGTGCCTTCTGCCTACTTTGTGGACATCTTTGGGGCTGTAATAACAATACCAACTCATAATTGGATAGTTTTCATGTTTTCTGCAACTTATAGAAAGTAGACTTTTACTTACTTATGTAATTATTTAACGAGCAAGATCTTATTGGTCATGGGGTGATGCTTCTCAGTAGCCAAGTGATTTTTTTGGAGGACCATCAGCAGGCATCAACTGGCTTTCTCAAAGCCTGCAATATTTCTGTTGTTCACTAGAGGGCGCTCTTAGACTATTTCTACCGTAGTCTGGAACTGGCTAGTGGTTAGATAACTGAGGGTTTTTGTTTTTGTTTTGTTTTTTTGGGTATAAAGCAATAGAGTATCACTTTGAAAAATTAAAATAATGGAAATCTCAACATGGCTTAATCACTGGCTCTGCATTTCAACGTGCTCTCTGCATCTTCATATTTAGGAAATTTCTTGTTATTTTTAGTCAACCATATTCATGATGATGAGAATAGGATCTAGACCCCAGAAAGGAAAAACCCTGGACTTTCCCACAAGGCCAGATCTCTGGCTGCCAGTCTCAGGAGTCTCTTCACTCGTGGCTGAATGAAAGGAATGAAATGGAGCGGTGGACTAGACAATAGGAAGAAAAATGGATCAAATATTTTTTTTCGAAGTATAAATCTAGTGGAAGGCCAAAAATGATGATGGATCAGCCAGTACTATCATATACAAAATTGCACACCTTTCTCTTGATCTCTCTTCTGTTTACATTCCTGAATTGACCTCACATTTGAGGGGTGGTTGTACATCATATTTTTCCTGACTTCATATTTTGTGCATGTGTGTGTGTGTGTGTGTGATTCTCTAAGATAATAAAGCTGTGGAATTCTCCTCCAAAAGATCCCTAGCTTCCAATGGAGACTGGTGGTAGCCTATCTATGGGCTCCAAGGAGCCTATTTCTCTTATCACTGACTTCTAGGATTTGGAGTGTGAACTTGAACCCTCCTACTAGCTTGTAGAAAAGATAGAGATATATGTTGATACAATTAGGTGGTTTTGGAATTAGAGTGACTATGTTTGAAGAATAGTTATTTAATTGTTGTTGTCAGCTTCAAGGGAGGTCTGTAAAGGAATCACCTAAGAATTCATTTTTTTTCTTTGCATTCCCAGCACCTAACGTGGTGTCTGGCACTTACTAAGTTGGCATAATAAATGCTTGCTGATTGAATTGTTTCTTTCTGACTCTTGCAATATTTTTTCCTTGACCTGGAAGCTCTGGAATTTGGCTATAATATTCCTGGGAATTTTCATTTTGAGACCTCTTTTAGAAGTTGATAGATGGATTCTTTCAATTTCTGTTTTTACCAATCCTTTTATTGGTTCTATTGCTCCAAAATTCATTTTTGAGGCATTATTTTAATATTCTTTGAAGATGAATTAGGAGAGCTCAGGTAATTTTCTGTCTTTACTCTGTCATCTTGATTCTGCCATCTTGGCTTCTGTGAATAAGTCTAACATAACCTTTTTATCTCCCAGTATCTCACACATTGCTCTGAAAATGGCAGATACTTAGTATTTCATAAACTGAATAAAAAATAACCCTCTCAGAATTATTGCTCTTAAGAAATGAAAAAGAAACCTACTTTGCTCTTGCTTTTAACTACCATTGTACTTCTCTTTCCTTTCACCATTTCTCAAATTCTGTACATGTATAACCTCTGCCTATTGCCTCCATTTCCTTACCACCATTTTCTCTTCTGTCTACAATATGTTTTCCATCCTGACCACTCAGCCGAAATCCTTCCCTCTTAGTTTGCCAAAGTCTTCTCTGCAGAATTTGATCCCATTCGCCAACCCATCCTTCTTAAAACTTTTGCTTACTTTGACTGTAGGAATCCTATAAGGCCTTGCTTCCCTGCTCTCCCTTATCTATACTCACCTTGTTGAAGAGCTGTTGTGCATCTCAAATGAGAGAGTGGGTATAAAGCACTTTGTACTAATTAAATATCAGTTAATATTATTGTTGACATCTAACTCATGCCATTTGTATTATTTTGAATTATAGTTATTTATGTATGTTACTATGTCCCCTCCACTTTCATGCTAGATTGGAAGCTACATGAAGGTAGGAATACATTTAATATAATCTTTGTATACCCCAGCTTCCATTGTTGTTGTTGTTGTTGTTCTTCTTCTAGAGTCACTAGGTCTCCAATCTAGTTATGATCTGATTCTCTGAGCCTTCTGTTATATTCGTGTTGAGCTCAAGCGATGTTTATAGAGCAATAGAGGGGTGTGCTAAGAAATGTTTAACAACAGAGCTTTCTGGGTGGGGAAATGTATATACCACCTTTAAGTTTAATCTGTATTATTAACACTTTATTAAATCTAGACAATCAACAAAGCAACAAATCAAGCCTGATTTATAGTAATTACCGATTTCTGAGGTGTAAACGCTTGTACTGAAAATTTAACAATTTAACAAGCTGGTTAGAGCTGGCTCCAGCACACCCCTGCCATGTGAAAATACCCACCCACTGTCATGGTTATAATGATTTCTTCTGAGTACATGAATAGTCCCAACCTGTTAGTAATAGGTATGCATAACAATAACAGGTAGCATTAATATTGATGCTTTTAAGGTTTACAAAGTGCTTTACATATGGTATCTCATTTGATCTCACAATGATTCTATAGGGTAGGTGCTATTATTATCTCAATTTTACAAATGAGGAAAATGAGGCAAGTTAATTGACTTGCTCAAGGTCACAGAGCTAGTAAGTGACTGAGACATGATTCAAACTCAAATCCCTGACTCCATATTTGACATTATATCTATTATGCTACTTAGCTACCTAATAAGCCACCTAGCTTAGGTGGGATTGTTTTGTACTGTCCCTGCACCAGAAGGAATTTCTTTGTACTGTCTTTTCAAGTCATATAGCTTTCAATTACAACCCCTGTCCTTCCAGTTTTATCCTCCAAGACCATGGGAAGAACTGGATTTTCTTCCCTTTTCCAATCTATCTTCAGTCAGTACAAAACACCATTTATACAAGTTATAGAAGTCACTTAGTACTGAGATGAGAGGAATTGCATGAGGCAAAGTCCAAACTCGCAATGTTCTTGGGATTTCCTGACTTTATCATTTTATTTTTGCTTTCTTATGTAATTTTGTGTTAATCAGGAAAAATGTATGTGATAGGAAAAACCACATCTGAATGGTATTTGAATCTAATGTAGAGTAGATCAATGTACCTTTCTGTTTTACATGACTAAATCTCTAGTTACAAAATCACATTATGGGAACCCTATATGTGCATTTAGTAGAAAAGAAAGGACAACAAATATAGGGATTGTTCTGCACAGACAAATAGGACAGGTACACAGCCTAGCCCCATTTTTAAGCCTTTCTATTTATAAGTGGTCCCTTTACAGAATAGAGATAAAATACATCACCTCTGTTTGTGCTCATTAAAATGACTAATCATAATTTGATTATTATATTTAATATAACCTTCCTGGTGAGGATATCCTCCATTAAATAATTCATACCTTCACTTGTAGGAGAGGGGCCACTGCAGTGTTGTGGGAAAGAGGAAACAAAAAGTCAAGTTCCAAAGCCTGTCTTAAACTATAGCAGGGAAAGGGAGAGGCAAAAGAAAACAATGCAAGTGATGACTCCGAATGGTGTCCCAGAAAGCAAGCGGCTCTAGGATGAAAACCCAGAGTCTTAGGTGAAAAATTCATCTTCACTTTCCTGACAGGGTCCAGCTACATGAGGAAAAATAGCAAGAACAAATCTGGTGCTGAAACCTTCCCCAGGTATTTCTTAGCTTGGGATTGCCCAAAATTAATAATACTGAGTGACCAGAGGGGTAGGCAGCTATAATGATTTTGCAGAATACAATCCAGAAACTGTCATCATCAAAAACATTAGACATGTAGAGGAGCAAAGCAACAAAATTAAAAATGTAGAGAATGAGGAAAGAGCTTATAGATTTGATGGCCCCTATGTGAGCCTCCATGCTGGGATTCCTGGAGCCTGTGGTATTGCTTTCCATCTGTAGGGTATGTCTCTTGAGAGAGATAATCAACAGGATGGCTGCAAGCATGAACAGGATGAGAGGAATGAACATTCCCACATTGTAGATAATAGCCAAGTTGATCACATTGGTATTGATGATGTATTTCTTCTTTGTGGAGTTGGAGAATGGGTCAGGGATTGAGTGATTGCAGGATGTATTATATATCTGTTGGGAAAAAAGGACACTGTAACAGAAGGAAATGAACACTGATGACCACAGTAGCCAAGGCATTAGTCTAGTGATTCTCCACTTTAGCCTGAGGAACAGAGGGTGGTTGAAATTGGCAATCTTTACAAAGTAGAAGATGTTGAGCCAAGTAGCAAACCAGAGGCTGCAAAAAGTCAAGAACATGAAAATGACTTTGAATGTATCATAGACAGTATCTTCTTTGTAAAAGGATGGGAATATTAAAGATGCAAAGCTTTCCATCATCATGCAACTCTGGAGAGCAATTCTAGATGAACTGAGGAAAAACAAAATCCTACCACTTGTGGAGAACTTTCTGTTTTGCACCCACTCAGCCCCATTTGTAACCATAATGAAACTATTTCCAATAATGCCAATGATGCACTCCATTCCTGGAATTGTGAAAGATATGATGATAACAAACATTGATGGTTTGTCTTCTGGGGAGCTGCAAGTTTCCATCATCATCAGCTACAAGTCTTCTATTTCTGGGGGAAATATGTTGTTCAGGCACCTGACTGGCAGATCCCTAGTAGCACCCAGAATTTATCTTATAGGAAGCAGTTGGTGGAGCGTTTCTAAATCAACATGATTTGTTTATTTCAGGATCTTAGCTCTGAGCCCAGAGATGCAAATGATCGAAGGATTTGATTCCTAGGCATCTCTCTATTTTAAGACATGTTGACACTGGACCAGCCAGGGGATCTTACTGTCTTCTTTCAAATTGAATGATACTGCCTTGAGATCATTGTCCTTTGGTGGTCTCAGGAACTAATTCATTACCTAAGTCATCATTTCTAATCTGTGACTACAGAGAATTGCTTAAAAAAGTAGACATTAACAACTCTCGTAGAAGATCCAGAGTAGAAGAATTTCTTTCATAACCAACAGTTTGGACTTTTAAAGCTTAGACTTAAATATGTCTTTTGCATATCATAATGATAATCATATGACATTTTAGGTTTGTAAAGTGTTTTGCACAGCATCTGGGGTCACCCTGATTTACACTAAAATTCCCCTTGAAAAGCTATGAAAAGGTACCAGTAGTATTCTGTAGTTCTGTATTCAAAACCATAGCTCTTGAGTGCCCACTGAAAGCCAACCAATGGGCATAATTAATTGAAATCAAGTCATTTAATGAAATAGCATAGTAAGAAAAATAGAAATTGAAATTCTCCCATTATTCTAGGGCACATTTGATCACTGGGATAAGTGGACACACATACAGATCATTCGTAGGAAGCACAAGCTAGGCAAACTATGCAGAGTTGGTACATGCAGGTAAGGTCACAAATTAGGGAACATGTGACCAGAGGATACATGTGAAGGGTCAGCTCATACTACTGAGTCTTCAGGGTTGCCCATTTTTCTTCTGATGTCATTGTGCTGCCTTTGTCTTCTTGGCCTACTCCCAACAGGGTATGGTATAGCTGCTGATCCCCACTATACATTGCATGATGTCTTTGCTATGGCTTACCTTTATTTGCTGCTATTTACCAGGCTTCATTTGAAGTCCTTAGATGAGATTCTGTCTCTTTGTCATAAGAGGAGGAATGGGCTCTGCCATCACTGTTTCAGACCAATTCTTTTAAGAAGAGAAAAGCAGCTTGCTTTTTTTTTTTGCTTTTGTTTGGTGAGGCAATTGGGGTTAAGTGACTTGCCCAGGGTCACACAGCTAGTGAGTGTCAAGTGTCTGAAGCTGGATTTGAACTCAGGTCCTCCTGACTCCAAGGCTAGAGCTCTATCCACTGCACCACCTAGCTGCCCCAGCTTTCTTTCTTTAAGAGAAAAGAAGGCTGTCACTAATCAAGATCTTGGTCTTCAAGGGCTAAGATTTTTTGGAATATAGACATCCATTCAGGTATTTAGAGACTTCAAGTATCTTTAAACTCAATTCTACCTGCATTAATCCTTCTATCTTATATAGGTTTAGGACATCCCTTTTAACTCCACTAAGATTCTGATTGTCAATCAACATTCCCATTCACCAGGGAATTTCCTTAGTTGGAGTTTCTTATACCAGTGAAGTCATAGGTCCTGTTAGTATTCCCATTTTATAGTTGGGGAAACTGAAGTACTACTGGGAGGTTAAATCATGTGTCCAATATCACACACCTAATAAGCAGACTCAGGCCTATGACTTCTGGTCCAGTGTGCTTTTATTATCAGGGCAAATGGGGCAACTAGGTCATAAAAGAGGCCCTTAGAGTGATCTCCAAGTAAGGAGACAGGCTAGAAAGATAAATTAACTGCCAGGGTTAGCATGACATGAGTCATTTGACCTGTTCTCCGGTAGCTCCCTTTCTCTAATTTCTGCATCAGCAACCCACAACGGTGGTGGTGCACAGGAGTGAATGGGGGAGGGAGAGATCAGAAAAGGGCACCAATAATCATGCTCTCTCATACCCCTATCGTGTCCTAAACTTCAGTATGAACATGCATGCCTAAAGAAACCTCTCTCTTGCTTATTCTCCCCTCCTTTCTATGAGTCTCTGGCCCCTTTCCATGCACTGTCATTCAGGTTTAAAAGTTTAAATCCTGGGAGGAGAGGGATATGTTCTTTGATCACTGACAAGCAGGAGTAGAGATCTGAGTTTTGAGTTCCACTTTGCCACTTAATTTGTGTGACCTTGGACAAGTCATATTGCCTTTTTGGGACCTCACTTTCTTTACCTCTGAAATGAGGGGGTTGGATGAAATGACCTCTAATATCCTTTTCCAGCTTGAAATCTATGATTTTAGGAAATGTGTCCGCTCCATTAAGCCAGTGTACTAATGATGTCATGTTTTCAAGGAGGCAGGCTCTGAGGTAACAGGTAGAAAATGTGTTTGTGGAAAAGTGTGTGTGTATGTGTATGTGTGTGTGTGTGTGTGTGTGTGTGTGTGTGTGTAAATCCCAAAACAAATGTATCTTTTCTATGCTATTGGGGGGTATCAACATCTGAAACACGACAGGAGAATGAAAAATTAAATACTCCATCAAATCATAGAACATGAAGTTAAATATTCTTCCCTTAATTGCACTGATCTCTGTTCAGTTTCCAAACATTTTGAACAAAATCACTGGCTTCTTTGTTAAGATTCAAATCGATAACTGGTTCAATCATTTTGATTTAACTGACAGGTCAAAGAATCATTCATTTCAGCCAGACAGATGAGTAAGCTGTAACTCCTCCTTTCCCTTGATTTTTGAGATCCTTGGAACTGGTCCAAGCTTTGGACTCTAAAAGGAGTGATCTAAGTAAAGAGTATTTTTGGGGATAGGGTTTTGGGTAGGCTGACCTAGGGAGGGGGAGAAGATTTGGAAAATTTAGTCTATATTCCTGATTGTGAATGACCACAAAACATTTCCCTGTGTACTCAAGAATTAATCTGAATGACAGCTTAGGGAAGGGAATTAGAGATAGCAGTAAAGAAAAAAAGCTTCATTTAGTAGTTTTTTTGTCTTTGTTTCTTCTTTTCAATTCATAAATAGCATTTTATTTTCTTCCAATTACATGTAAAGAGAATTTTCAACATTCACTTTTTATAATCTTTTATTGAGGTTTGGCTTTTTGGTTTTTAATATCTCTTTCTACTCTCTACCTATAGATTTCCTTGTATTCAGTTGCAGGGGTGAGTATAGAGTCAGAGGATTTACTGAGAGTGAGTGAATTGAAATCAAAAGAGATGAAGAAAGGAAATAAAAATAAGGAGAGAGATGGAAGGATGAAGGTAGAGGGTAGAGATGTAGAAAGGGAGATGGGGGAGAGTCAGATAGACAGACACAAAGACAGAGACAAACTGAGAAAGACAAAGAATGGCATAGATAGGTGATATGGATAGTAACAGATGAGAGAAGAAGATGAGCTCTTCTACACTGCTTTTTCTGTCCAGGCTTTAGTGTCCTTTCTTCAAGCTGTACCCTGGGGCTCAGAAGGTGCAGAGAAGAAAAATGAAAAACACAAGAGCTATTCAAATAGAGTTACCTAAGTTGGGCACAATTTGAGTTCCGCCACTTTCCCCAAAGGTGATGGGTTTGGACAGAGCCTGCCTGATGAGCTACTTGATCTAGGGTTCCAAAAAAAAAAAAAGAGAGAGAGAATTTGGCCCATCCTGAAGGATAATAGGCAGTGAATAAATGAATCATGATAATAGTAATAATCAAAGCTCACTTTTCTATTGTACTTTACAATTCACAAAGATTTTTTTTTTCACAGTGACCTTGTGAAGAACTTTGGTAGCACAAGTCTCACAATTAATCTCCATTTTGCAGACAAGGAGATGAAGGTTTAGCAAGGAAGAGTAAAACAATAGTCTTCTTATTAAGAAGAATGTATGGAGCCAAGATTAAGGAGAAGGAGGAAGCAGTAGATACCTTCTTTCCCAAATAACTACTGCTTGAACAAAAGATTTAAGAAGCGTGCCAGACTGTGTAATGATTGGAAAATCTAGGAATAGTTACCGAATACCTGCAAGCTAAGCCTCAAAGATAAATACTACTTGCCCACAAGATCAATTAGTGTTTCTTTCAAAAATAAAATGAATTAAAATATTATAAATGAAATGAAAATAATATTGGAAAAATTATAAAGGAAATGAGAGATTTAGAAAAAAGACAGAAAAAAACTAGAAAAAGAAAATTAATACCTTATCCCAAGAGTTATAAGATCTAACCCAAGTAATAGGCTCCCTGAAATTATAATTGACTAAATAAAAATTAATTAATCTATCAGCTAACAAGAAATGTTTTTTAAAAAGATTGAAAAAAGGGGAGAAAATGAAAGGTATTGTATATCATAAATAGCTGACCTGGGAAATAGAACAAGGAGAGATAATTTAAGTATATCTAAAAGCTATCACCAATAAAAAGAGCCTAGATAATATTTTTCAGGAAATCTTAAAATAAAACTGTACAGATATATTAAAACCAGAGGGAAAAATGAAAATAAAAAGAACCTATTACCTCCTGAAAGAAACCCCAAAATAAAAGCTCCTAGGAATGTCATAGCCAAAATCTAGAGCTTCCAGGTCAGAAAAGAGTTTGCAGGAAACCAGAAATAAAGTATTTAACTACTGATGAATCATAATCAAGATCACACAAGGTTTTGTAGTTACCAATAAATTACCAAAAAGAAACAGAGAGCATGAAATATGCTATTCCATACGTCAAAAGACAGGCTTGCAAGCAAGAATAAATTACCTAGCAAATTAAATTTTAATCCTGCAAAATCAAATGGCTCTTTAATGAAATAGAAAACTGCAAAGCATTCCTGGTGAAAAGATAGAACTGGGTAAAAAAATTTGAAATATAAACACTAGAGTAAAAAAAAAGGCTCATACAAATGAGCAATCGGAAGGGACTTTACAAGGATGAAGTATTACATTCTGATGAGGAGGGATGGTATGGATATCCTCAGAACCCTGATGTCACCAATAGTCATAGGACTCAAATAAGACGGAGAGCCTAGGAATGATTTTTTTCT